ATTATAGATAAAAATTTGTATATATATATTTTAATTATTAAAACTAACTTTAAATCTTAAACTAACTATAAAAAAACTATAAAATACAATCTAGAATTTTTTGAAAATTATATATTTATATATATATTTTTTCACTTTGGCCATCTTGTCAATATTCTTTATTATATTCAGTTTGTTAATAAATAAAAATACTTTACATATATATAATAATTAGATTTGACATCTTGCAATTACTTCTAAAAGCACTTATAAGTGACTGGTTGCATTAAGCAGATGAATTTACAAAAGATACATTATGTTAAGTTTCAAAGAAACTTAACTATCCCAAAAGGCTTCATCAAACCATTGCTTTATAATAAAATATCACTAATCTGATGACATCTTCTCTTAGAAAAGTAGAAAAAGAAAAAATACCAATAATAAAACTAATACTAAAAAATAAGAAAAGAGAAACAAATTAAAAAAAAGAATCTGAGAGATTACAGTTATCAGTCTGTATTGAGCTTTAAAAAATTATATATTACAAGATAAAGAAGCTTTATATCTAACTCTATTCTAATAATATATGTATCTAAATTAAAAAATCTGCTAAGCAGAAAAAAATATTAAAACTAAATCAAAAAACCTTAGATAAACTAAACAGAGTAGTTTAAAGTAATTTTGAAATATTGTTGATGGTTCACAGAAATTGAGGCACAGTCATTATTTGTGTTGTCTTAATTATCCGTTTTGTCTATCCACCTGTATAATGTCTCTTACTTCAGGTAACTATCTGTATATCTGTTTACTGGTTTACTAAAAGTAAATAATAACAAAATATTCACATCAAGAAATCAACAACACCAACTGTTTTGGTAAATTTACCTATTAATTTTTGGAAAGATAAACTAAAAAACTCACTTTTTAACAAAATTTCCTCAAAAAAAAGTGGTAAGTCAATAAAGCTTTTTTGTGATTATTTCTTATAAGTTTTACAGTTATATAGTGATAATCCAAGTATTTAATATTCTTAGTATTAACTTAATCATTTTGTGTTCTCAAAATATCCTTCTGATTTGGATGCTGAATATAATAGAGAAGTCTATCTGAAGAAAAGTTTGACCTCTACAAAAACTTTCTAAAGTAGTCTGCATCTTAGTTTTATACTCTTAGTATATCATCGACAACACAACTACTTGTATAGAACCAAGTTTATTAAGTACTTTAATATCTTCTATAATGTTTTCTATAGTTTAGTTTTTTGAAGTTGTTAATTAGAGGATCATTAGGAAGAGTTAATCTTTAGAAAATTTTATATTAAAGTATTTAAAATTTAAACTTCTATAATAATTTTTATAAATTTAATATAAATAATAATCATATCTAGATATTTTTAAAAAGCAATATTTTTTTTTTTACTTTTTTATATTTCTTTATTAAATATAGTATATATTTTTTATTACTTTTTTATTTTATTTTTGATTTTAGCTAGAATTTTTTGGTATTTATTTGTTTTAAAAAAATATTATAAAATAATAAATAAATATAATTTTATAGATTTAGTATAATAAATTACTTTTAAATATTTTTAAAAATAGTCAAAAAAATAATAAATTTTTTTTTCTTCGGCAATTTTGTTTATTTCATTATAGAGCAAACATTCATTCATCTTTACAAATAAAGAAATCTATATCTATAGTGTTTCAATTAAAATATAAACTTATCTAGTTTTATTTTACAAATACTATAACACCAACTTATGATCAGTATAAACTATTAAATCACTATGTTATACTTAGATACAACCTGTCTAGCAATAGTTAGCCTCCTTCAAAGACCTATAACCTACTCCAAACTTTCTCAAACTCTTCAACTAGCTGTTGCATACCCTGTTAAGATTTCTACTCTATAATAGAATGCCACCAAATTGATGCCATTTTCTTGTAGAAAAGGAAAGAAAAAAAAAAGAGGAAAGTAAAAACAAAAAAAAGAAAAAATAATAAAACTAATACATCAAAGAAAATGAATACTAAAATTAAAGAATAAAAAACTATACTAAAACTCAAAAGAAACTATTATTAGAAAGAAGAAAACCTGCTAACCAAGTGAAAATTTTTAACTATACAAAATAACAAACTACTATTAAGTATGAAAGCTTTGACTGCATTATAACTTATACCAGAGTTTAAAAATTATATACAAGATACTAGACAAATTATTCTCTATTTCTACATTTATCTATCTAGTATATCAAAGTAAAAACCTGATAGGAAAAACTTCAATGACCAGTTTAATTGTAAAGAGGTTGGAGCAAAGTCTTAGAGTATCATTTGTATAGATATTCATTGTATTTGAGATATGTATATACACATGTTTGTTGTTATGTTCTGATTTGAGAGATAAACAATGCTAATTATCTTCACCAGTATCGCTAACAAAATTTTTACCATTACATGATATATGACAAAATTCTTTAAGCTTGTTTATATTAGGGTTAGGACCTATTTTAGTGTTAAAGTTAAGTGTTCTAATAGTAAAATCGCTCAAGAAAAACTTTTTATTAATGCGTAGGAGGTTGTTTCCTATGCAGATTTTGAGATACAAGTGATTTTTGACAAAATGAACGTTTGTTTTGAATTTTTTTGATCACGTGATGTTATACCAAATTGAGATTCATTATTGGCTTATTTTTATTAATCATCACGTAATGGTAAAAATTACATAGAAATTATAGAAATTTTGTTAGCGATCCTGAGGTAGTTATACTAATTTGTTTAGTCACATGATGTTGATCATTTGGAAGGATAAGCTGAAATATTTACTTTTTACAAAACTTTTCTCAAAAAAAGTAGTAGGCCAATCAGATTCTTCTTATAAGTTTTACAGTTGTATAGTCTAGTTTCTCTGTTTTCACCAACTTAATAATATATGTTGACTACTTTTACAGACTTGTTTTCAAAACAAATCTTCTGGTTTGGATACCAAATATCTTGAGGAGTCTGTCAAAGAAAAAAAACTTGATCTCAAAGAAAACTGTCTGTTCTTTTGACACCTGCTTCTCAGTGTATTACATCTAGACACTTAGACTTTGTTAATAACAAGCTGCTCCTACTTATAGAGCCAAGTTTAGTATCTACTTTGTTGCCTTTCTATATATTTTGCTGTAGTTCAGTTTTTGTAATTGTTAACTAAAAGATTGTTAAAAAGAGTTGTAATTATTGATAAAAAAATACTAATTTTTAAATTATAGTTTTATTATAAAATCTTAATATTAGAGATTTGTATCCTATAGTTTAGCAGTTAAGCTGCTAAATTTACACTAACTAGATTGATAGTTCAAGTTGAACTGAAGGCAAAATCTTAAAATTTTAGTTTTTATAATCTATAAAAGAATTATAATCTAATACAAAGCTCTGTAGCAAATTCAAGTGAATATAATGTTGGAATAAGAAATTTCTAGAAAGTAGTTTAACTGTAAAATGCAAGCACTATAAGTAATAGCAGCATTACAGAATGTTTTATTATATAAAAGGTTGTATAAATAAGTTCTAGAAAGATATAGATAGTACTAACATCTTTGCATTTAACTTGTATAATACTTGCTTAGAAGAATAACTTAAAGATAATATAAACTAAAATAATGAAAAAAGTAGTAAACACAAAAATAAACTGTAGCAAAGAATTAGTTTAATCAGAATTGAAACATCTCTGCATTAACTATCTGGTTTATTAGGAAAAGTACTATAATATAAAAGTAAACTAAAATTTAAAGTATATATAATAATTTAAAATAGCTAAAAGTACCAGATTAGAAGTATAATAGTATTAAAAAAAGCTTGTATATTAGAAATAAAAAGAAATATTAAATACTAAAATTGAAAGTGATCTATAGCACAAGCCCAAACTAGATCTATACTTCTAGAATACTACTATCTAAAAAAAGCAAAGCAAATAAAAATACTAAGATTATCGAAATGTTTTATGAAATCTGTTATCATAAGTTATAAATATAATAAAAAATAGTAAGCTTCTTATTAACACACAGAAGTATCTAATAAACAAGAATTAGCAGTATACTAACTAAACTAGGTGTTAATAACTAGGGTATAAGATTTATAAACTGAATAATAATACTAATATTAGTTAACTAATAAGATTAGCTTTAGTTTACTAAGATTAAAAATAATTTATAAAAAGGTTATAAGATTATTTACAAAAATTTACTAAATTTGAAAGCTTAAATAAATAGTATAAGAGAAACAGAAAATATATTTAGTAAAATACCAAAATCAGATAGATGAAAAATAAAAAAAATTAGATAAATAATATTTATAAAAACTCATTACTTTGGTAGATTTGGGTTACAGATAAAAATAAATGGTTAATAGCAGTTCAAAATATATCTGACTACAAGTGTTAATTTTAGCTATAGTGTAGATTATTAATAGAGTTTAAATCTGAGTTTGGTATATTTAATATATAGTAATATATAATGTAACAATATATGTAATAAGTAATATTAATAAATAAAATTATGGACAAGACCTTACTTATACATGTCACTAAAATAGGTTATTAAAAAACTCTATTTTATTTTCATTAAAGCAAATTAGAATTTTTTATATACAAAAGCAAATCTAATTTAAGTAGTTATATTTTTTATAATTTTGTCTTTTCAAAAAAAGTATCAAAAAATTTCATTTTTTAAATAAAATAGATCAAAAATAATTTTGTTTTCAAATTTTAAGTTTGGGGTTTAGATTTCAAATAATTTTGTTAGCATGTATAACCTTATCTGAATATTAAAAAAAACAAAATCCTGATATCTAAAATCTCGAATCTATAATTTTAATGTGATGATTAATATTAAAGATTAAGAATTATATTAATAATAATTGTTAGTCTAAATTTTAATGCTACATTACATGATATTAGTATTATAACCTGTTAAAATTTTGGATGTCAGAATTTGTGATAAAACTCTAAACTAAAGTATAAATGCTAGTAAAAAGTATACTGATATGACTGACAAAGTAAAAACAACAGATATAGTAATTGTGTACTAAATATTTGTTAAAATTTATATATAAGCTAGGTGGTGAGAAAAGAAATGAAATTGACAAAAAAAGAATCTTAGAAAAATCAATTTTTGTTATAAATCTTATAAGAAAATACAAACTTTAAAGAGCTATACTGCAAAATTTTATTAATACAACTACTTTTGTGTTTTAAATGAAAAATGATCTTAATCTTATTTTAAATTGATTTATGCAAAAAAAACATTATTTAAAAAAAATGACAATTTCGTCTCTTTTCTCAGCACCTAGACCAATATATATAAATAAACAGTATATATATTTAAGTTATAAGAACTATTTTTGTATTAGTAATTAAAAAAAGGATTTTTTATAAATTTAGAGAATATATGCAATTAGACAGCATGCAGTTAAACAATATACAATTAGATAGTATCAACTGTATAATAATCAATTATTACCAAATTATTTATTAATAATATTTAATAAGTTAATGCTTTATATTAAATCTAAAATAAAAATAGCACTTTAATAAGTTTAAATCAGCTTATGTTTTATATTAAAATGTACGTTTTTGAAACTATTATTATTAAAGATATTTAAGTGGACAGGATGCCAGCCAAAATCCCGACAAGCACAATCCCGACAGGTCATAATCCCGACAAAAAAATCCCGATAGTCAAAATCCCGACAGGTCATAATCCCGACAAAAAAATCCCGATAGTCAAAATCCCGACCATTAAAAATCCCGACAGTCAGAATTTTCAAGTAGAAAAAAACCAAATATGGGGGTATGTTTAAAGCGGAGTGGCCTCTTAGAATGTAATTAAGGTTAGGTCACTTTAGATAAGGTTTATGATATTTTTCATCAGAATTTTTAATTGTCGGATTTTTAACTGTCGGATTTTCGGCCGTCGGAATTTTTGCTGTCGGGATTTTTTTTGTCGGGATTATGACCTGTCGGGAACCCATATAAATTGGAACAAAGTACATAAATTTCAATTCATAAAATTGGTCTACCGTTTAAGAACGAATAAAAGTTAAAAAATTTAAATAATGCGAATAAAATTAACATTTACAAAAGCATCAGATTTTTATGACGTGAATTAAAAGTATTTCAAATTCAAAATGATTATAGAACTTTAAAAGTTCGAAATGACTATGGACTTTGTGGTAATACTGAATTTTTCGACCAGAAAGAAAATCCCATTCATGGTAAAATTATTTGCAATATATTAAATTTAGTAATCTATATGCATTAGTAAGCTTAAATCTCCGATTTTTGATTATTAGACACAGATATCGACCCGATCTTAATGTAAGACATATATAAAAGTATGAGATAGTAATTATGAACGATTTTGGTCAATAATGGGTAATAAAAATAATAAGTTATAGCCGAGAATTCGGAGATATAATGTAATGTAATGCAATAAATTAATATTAGATACATTATTTCCGTTTTCTATTAACTCATCTTTAATAATTAAAATTAATCAATTACAATATTAAACGTTTTCTAAACCGGATTTGAAACACATCTTTCGCATAAATTGTTAATAAACAAATTTAATCCACCTCTAGGAAGAACTTGTTTCATTGGTTTTACAGTTTCATCCATATGTGTAAGTATTTCAAAAACGATCTTTTTTTTAGTTACTCCATGTGCATTAAATTTTTTTTTAGATTGTGCATTTCTACCACTTACCATTTTTAATCGCACGATTCATACGAAATCACGTGGTTTGTAAGCTTATTTTATACCAAGATGCCTATCGAAAGACCGCATTTAATGATATTAGCATAATTCGTTGCGAGAGTACACGTGTTGCATAAAAATGGTGCGTCGAGATGAGTATATAGTTCGTAAAAGAAATCATTTAAGGAATTCTAATTATAAACTATACTAAACCTAACATGAAAAAAGGGCAATATTAGCACTCACCCTAACCCTAACTATTAACTTATCAAAGATAAATTTTATAACTTTTGCTAATCATACATACTTTCGTAAATTTTCTTAGCTTACACCTATACAAACAATGGTATACTTTACTTACTTGCTAACTTATACAATACATATTTCTGTAACACTCCGTCGAGATTATCTATCCGTATTGTGCGTATGTACTGTACGCACGTACGTACATACGCACATACTGTACATACATCACTATGACAATCGCCCAGCTATAAAATTTTGTTGATGGTTGGTAAAATACGTACGTACGTAGTCTTTAGTTAAATAAATTTAGTGTTAGTTTCACAAATATGAATTGCAATTATACATATCGATACGGTCCTGAATCATAACCATTTGTTTTGCTTAACATAACGGTAGGTTCATTCATTGAAACAAATTTTGGACATTTTTATATAGTTTCTTATTTTATTAATTATCTGGGACAAGGAAAAAAGGCATACAAGCTTGGTTGAATAGTTCGAGACGACGCTAAATTTGTTTTATAATTGGAAAAGAAATCCCGACAAAGGGAATTAGTTATCCGTGTTATGTCCTTATACTTTATTAAATTAAAGTGTCTCTTTCATTCAAACCTCCTTTTATTTGCATATGCTTGAAAAATGGCAATTTGTTACATGCTACTAATCGATCATTGGTTCACTACAGATTAATTTTATTACTTAATAAATTCCGTCGATGCTCGCATGAATTTATATAACTTACTTTAAAAAATCTGACCTTGTGAAGGCTACGGAGTACCTTTTCCCGTAAGACCGCGTTAGGAATAAAATTAAAATAAATCAGGCTGCATTACCAATTTACTTTCTTTACAATATTAAACTAACATTGAAAAAAACTTGAACTCCAAATATAAATAGTCACATCAATTTGTTTATATAAAAACACAGGCTTTCATTCGTAGGTCTGAAAGCTCTAACAAGATGGAGAGCAGTCAAGAAATTAGTAATGAATTTGCCGAAATTAACGTGCCATATCCTTGTTCTATTGACCCGATGGATTTCCTATCGCGAAAATGCAAACGGGGTAAAAAACCATCCAAGTCCTCAAATGCATTTATGATTTATCGGAAAATGTTTTCTAAAGAACTAAGGAAGAAAAATCATAAAATACCGCAATCGAAAATTTCCGGCATGGCCTCCGCTTCTTGGAAAAATGAATCTAAGGATATTAAAGATGCTTACCATAAGCTGGCTGAAGATGTAGACCGTTTATTTCTGGAGTCACATCAAGACAATTCCGTTGAAAATCCAATTGAACCAGTAAATGCTAATAGCGAAGGTATCGAATCATCATCGTTGATTCCAAATCCTCAAAATATCGATATCTCGGCCGATAATATCCTAGAGCATCATAACTTATACATAAATGCCCCGATACTACCTTATTATTTGCCCGTTTCCGAATATCAGTTTACATATGATGTTGCTAGTATGACATATTGTATTACATCAATTTATTATAACTGATGCGTAATGAAAATTATGTGTATATCGTTGTCTGATATAATTATATATAGCAATTAAATATACCTTAATGGGAATGTTATTATTTTTGCTTAATGTAGAGTTATTCAATAACAGTAACGGTAATGATATGTGATAAGTTTCATCAAAATAAGAAATTAAGACTTAAAATTAATAAAACCTTATGAATCGTGAAACATGTAACAATACTACGGAAAAATTTATCCGGCGTATAGCTGCATAGATTCAAATGTTACCATTGTTATATTATCAAATTGTAATGGCATGTGAAATCATGAAAAAAAAAAGTTCCCAAAAATATTTCAACTAGTTGCGGAGAAAATCTTTCAGAAATCTGCCATTACTGCAATTACCAAACAATAGTATATTTCTTCATAGCAGCAGCATCAAAATGACCTTTACCTAAAAACATTCAAAGGTCCTGCGGAAGCTGCAAGTTAACTGTGATTTCCATTGCATCAAGTTATTAACAAACAAGTGAATTTAATCCGAGATATAGTATGATTTATCTATTATTTAAACTCGGTCCGGAAATAAATCGTTCGTATCGTAATCTAATTTGAATCTTGTAATCTTAACTATTATTAAAGAGGATAGTAAAAATAGTTGATCTATTATTTTATGAATCCATTCTCGTTTTACTTTTATTTACCAATAGTTATTTCATCTTGACAAGTTTGTTTTTACTTACAATTAGTTTTAAATGAGTCTGGCCTTAAAAAAGTAACTCATAACCAACTTATCGGACATTTGTTCTGAGACTGAATTTTAATTTCCGAAAAGTTAGGTGAATTTGAATTTCTGAAAACGGTTATAAACTCTTTAGTGAACTGAATGTCGGTAAATTGTAGATGAAGGGATTTGTCAGTAAATTTTAAATTGATTTTCCTGTATAGTGAATTGAATGTCGGTAAATTACAATTTTAAATTGTTTTTCCTGCAAAGTGACAGAGACGTGTATTATTCAATCATTCAATATCCCTCTTTTTGGAGATAGTGTTTTAACCATCCCTCTATTTGACAACGCTTCAATGCACAGATTTTAATTCTAATCTTTCAATCTTGAACCCTCATCTTCATTTGCTCTATTTGGACTTTCTGTGCAAATTAAATTATGCACTCACAAATGCGTGATTAATAATATCATAAGGTTACATAATTGCGATAAGCAATATTTTAAACTCAATAGATATGTTACCAATTCACCTCATCCTTTCTATGACTATTACCTAATAAAAAAAATCTAGAAGCTTTTAATTCCAGACTCGGATAACAAAACATATTATTAATAGAAATGATATAATTCATGCTTATGTACTTAAAATTTACGTATGACACAATCTCGTCATGCGACGCATTAATTATAGGAAACTTATTGAGGCTATTGCACCCATTCTTTTTTTACTGTTGTGTAGAGATGTGATCCGTGAATTACAGTAAATATAAATAAACTGTAGTTTACTCTAAAACTACAGTTTTAGATTAAACTACAGTTTATTTATATTAACTAATAGTTTACGGATCACATCTCTACTGTTGTGATCGCTAACTTCTATTAAACGTCAGATAACAAAACATCTTATTTATAGAAATGATTTAAATTCATGCTTATGTACTTAAATTTATGTATGACACAATCTCTTCATGAGACGCATTAATTATAAGAAACTTATTGAGGCTTTACTGCACCCGTTCATTTTTACTGTTGTGATCGCTAACTTCTTTTCATCTTTTTCCTAATTTCGATCACAAAATTATAAATAAAGTTTATCCGAATTTGGATTACAGGCGAACTCTTCAATAATACAGTATCGTTTTCGATCTTGATAATAAAACATTTTTTTTGGAAATCTCACATGACACCATAGTTCAATGGTACGTATCACCAATGATCTCACCAAACTGTTTATGAAAATAATGGACTATTATTTGATTATTTTGAGGTTAACAATCGAAATTACCTTTAAAGGGAAACGGTACTACCATGGCATTCGTCTCGATCAAGAGTGGATATTTTATATGTATGTACAGTACCCTCAGAAAGTATATCATTGTTACACAAAATGCACATATGGGATAGACTAAAAGATAAGTAGAATGCAGCAACGAAGACCACCCCAAGAACATATAGGAAATTGAGGACAACGCTTTTAGAGGAATAGGAAAGACTAGATGCATTGATTTTCATGAACTTAATCAACAGTATTCCAAATCATGCTGCTGAAGTTATTTCTAATGGTGCAAATATTGATGCATTGTCATTCAATATGTATTATAATGATATATTGTTGAATTGGTATATCGATATTTATTATTAATTTGCTAAGTAATAAATTTACAATATTAAGAAAATTTATGTTGTTTTCGTGTAACCGTGATATATTTTCTGAGGGTACTGTACGTACGTACGTACGTACGTACATGGATACAGTCAAACCAACTTCTTTATAATCACTCTACATATAAAAAAATTTTTATACAGTATCTATTTTAAGAATTAACTATAGAAGACAACCTCCATATAAGCAAATTCTTTATAAGTAAAGATGTTGGTGAAATTAAACCAGAGTGGTGAAATTGGTGTTAAATTGGTGAATTTTGGTGATATTAATTAATTAAGGATCTCTTGCAGTATAAGTGACCCTTTAATAAAATATATTGTTAATCGATTGATTATAAAGTGGGTCACCTATACTTAGTGTTGTCAGTTGGCCATTTGGCTGGCCAATGGCCGCGACCATTGGCCGAACTGGGCAAAAAAATTATTTGGCCAAAATGACCAAATATTCATATAGAAAAAGCTAGCAATATGATTGGTTAATGCTATATAAGTTAGAAACTTTTGGCCGAAGTTTAGATTCTGGCCATTGGCCGTTGCCTACTTTGGCCGGCCAAAGGCCAAAAAAATTGGTTGGCCGCAAGAAATTGCCAACACTGCCTATACTACAAGAGATCCAAGGTCCGAAACTAATTCCACCGGCATCTCTATTTGCATAAACACTTTTTTTTTTTTAAAAAAAAAATGGTAATATGGTCCCAATGGTGTGATTATAGTAAGATTAGACTGTATGAAAAGAAAACACATGGTAAGATTACACTAACGAGGGTCATTATTGTTAAAAGCCTTGTTCGCTGGTAATTGTCACACGCAGTACTTTATTACATAATTTATTACATAATGTGATAAAATGAATATAACAATAACCAACGGGCAAGTCGTTTAACAACATTAATAAGATGTAACAACGTATTATCATAAATTTACACTATATTATCAAAAATATAGATGCAAATTTAGTATTTTACCTATATAAAAAGCTACATCAAACAGATTTATAGTGAGACTATGGATTAGATTTAGCCCTCGATCAGAGGCATATATGATTAGGAATCTGCAAGTCCGGCGCTAAAAAAAGGCACAGGCATGAGCAAATATGTAAGACATTGGCATAAAGTTAATGGGCACTTTTGAGGCACAAAATATTTGGCACATGTTGGGCACTTTGTGTTATAAGCATGAAAGACCAATTCTAAACCTTCACACAAAATGCATGCCCCAAAGGTGCCTAGAACATTATATGCGTGCCTACAAAATGCCTGAAATTTTTGTGCTCATGGGCACAGGCAACCTTACAAGCATTAGTACCAAGCATGACACCTAATATGCCCGGCGCGGGCATTTGCAGATTCCTATATATAATACGTAGAATTTTTAATTACGTATATTATATATCACCAGGACATGTAATAAATAATAAACTTGCACGTTTTTTTATAAAGCGTAACTAGTGACATAAATAAATCTGCATCTATCCCTTACCACCATCATTATGAAGCTTGAAATACGATATATCAATTACAATAGATAACTAGTAGATTCTGCAAAGTGTTTGGCCGTGATAATTTGCCCGCATATATGACAATGTTATTTAGTTACATATTTTCGGAGTTCGGAGATGAAAGGGTTGTAATCTCAGAAATAGGAGAATAGATAATATAGCAATAGATTATTATTACATAGAATAAATTATAAATTTGAGTTTTTTTTATTGTGACATAGGTATATGATCTACGTGTTCACTTATTTAATTCACATGATCTACAAATCTTATGAAGATCCTAAACTTAAATAAAAATTCACGCGTTATATGTACAAATATGGATAACTAAAAATTGACAAGTGTATGTTTTCTTCAAGCGAGCGGTTTTAGATTCGATTTTTCGATTGAAACGGATCGGTTTTTGGATCATTTCAGAATGAGAATAAAAATGGGAACCTGAACTGTCAAAAATGTTACAGGTTACCTCCGTTAATATTAACCCATTTGGGTTAGACAATTATGTTGATATGTGCGAGGGTTGATAACAGCGGGATATTTTTTGATATAGCCTAGGCCTATTTTTTCTTAATAAGAGGTTGATCTTAACGAGGCTGATATTAACGGGGTAACCTGTATTTGATTGTAATACTTGTTCTATCCAATTTTTAACTCATCCTATCCTTATTTCTTTGTTAAACCGTGACACTGACTCTCTAAATAAGACAACTGGCGCGTTACTATTAAGAAGATATCACTGATACGTAAATAGTAATTTTATATCAAATACTTCTTAAAGAATGAGATACTAAAAATAAACTGTGTTTGGGAGTTATCTTACAGATATCTATATGCTAACAGGTTTATCATAACCCTTGATTATTTTTTTACTAAAAACGCGTAACTTTGATTCAAATTGAGTATAGATCTTTGTTAATAATTGTTTTCTTTGTTCTTTGTTTACTTTTAAAAGCATTTTGTGTACAAAATCATTTTTCCTGGACGCTGAAACTTTATTATTGATGATGCAAGGTATATTTCTGTAAGTATCTACGTACATCTATGAATTCTTTTTCATTATTAAGATCTACTTTAAATAATGTCAGACTCTCGAATTATAAATCTATTAATGTCGTGCAAACCAACTTGTGAAATTACTATGCTTAATCGAAAACAATTGTATTTGGCTTTATTAAATATTATCTTTATAGATCTTGTGTGAATATTTATCTAATCCTAAGAAGGCAATTTGGGAAAACAATAGGTATACAAAAAAAAGTGTGTGGTGGCTTGCATTTGCAATTGTCCGTTAATCTACTTTATTATTAATTATATTAAGGTAATATAAAAATATTTATAACGCGCGTTTTATTATTGGATGCAGTTGGGACATTGGTTTATTTCATGCATATTAAAAAAAAAAAAGAAAAAAAAATTAATGATTGTCCTACACTAGATCACGTGAGCATATGTGCAAATGCAAAATATATGCTATGACCCTTGCTTAGGAAAAAAAAAAGAGCAAGATGCATGTCATTGTCGTAGACTATAAAAATAGGGGAATACTTCTTCTCTATCTCACTTGGACTCGAGCAACGGCTCCACAGTGCTTTTGACTTCCCCATTTTTTTTTCTTTTTACCTATAAACTTTGTATTCGTCTTTATTTTTATCGTTAACATAAAGAAAAAAAAATAATGGCAGAGTACCCCAATTTAGATTTAAATTGTCATTTTACGACCATGATGGTGGAGCCACCTCTAATCCATCTTCCCTTTCCGCCTACTATAACGGCGCATGATATTCTTATGAGACGTCCACAGTCAAGAATTAGGTCCAAGAGTCCAAATGCTTTCTTTATTTATAGAAAAGCATTTTTTGACCAACTTGCACTTTTAAATCAACGATTCCAAATGACGTATGTATCCAAATTAGTCAGCGAGTATTGGAAAAATGAATCAGAACAGGTTAAAAGTGCATATAAAAGGATTGCGGAAGAAGTAGAGGAAAAATTGAATGAAGCGAGAATAAAGGCTTTAGTCTACCCAGATGCTTCACAAAAACAAAATGATCAAAAAAAAGCAAAGAAAACTCGCAAGAGACGCAATCGTAATAATAATAACGTTCAAGAGTCGAATATCACCCAAAGTATCCCGCAACTCTTACAGCCACAAATTTATACCGCCAATAACGATCAATCTACATTCGAAATGCAATACTTCGACGGACAATACTTTCATGATGATCAACTGTTCCAATTTGTATATAATGATACATGGTGGTGTTATTAATTTTTCCTTGTTTTTTTTTTTTTTTATAAGTTAAACCTGTTTTCTCTTCTCTTATATGTTTTATATGCTTATTTTATTAAATTTTATATGTTTTTTGTTTTTGAAAACGTTTTCATAAAAAAAGTTTAAAAGTTAAAAAAAAAAAAAAAAAAGAGAAAAAAAAAATTTAAAAAAAATTTTTCGAAAAAGAAAAAAAGGCGCGCGTGAAGAAAAAGAAACAATATACTTATGTTAAAAATAATTCCGGCTTTATGCTTTATGTAATTGTTGAATAGGCAGGAAAATTAGATATTATCTGTTAAGGATCATGATCCAATAGAACTGAAAAATAAATATCAACGAAAATGTAATTGGCACAAGGTACATGCGTTCATGCATAACGAATTCCTGAACTTTATATAATTATCTGGAGTATAATGAATCATAATATTTAATTCACTACATATGTACATGTGTACATATTTTTATGATGATCATTCTTTTTTTTGGAAGAATACGTAGTATGGAAATCATACGTACGTACGATTTGTAAAGAAAAATTACTCAAATCTGCTTATTTTTTCTCACAATTTGTATTCTGCCCTAATATAAAAAAGGGATAATACTAGCACTTGCCCTAACCTTACCCATTAAAAAAGGAACAAATATTACAAGTCTATGTTTACTGTACGTACGTACGTACGATCAAAATTTTATTATATACCGATACGCCTGAATCTGTACTACCATACTATACTATATTTTATTGAATATGAGACCCGCTAGGGTGATCATCAAATCGGTAAATCAAATAATAGCTTTGACCATATATAAAATTTATTATGCAAGGATTTTTTACAGGTTTTTTAGATAATTTCGGAATTTCGGAAAATTCACTTTTACATATTATTCATTTTATTGTGTAGATCAAAAATATGTGTTGGCATGATAATAATTTTATGAAGGTACATTTTTTAGATCGAGGAAAAAAACTTTTTATATGATATTTTTTTTAATTTGTAGCTTTTACTTCTCTCTTTTCGATAATGAACTCAGTTTTGTAAATTTTAATAAATTTATTGATGTCAAAGTTGAGTAAAGCTCATTCACTTTGTAAAGAATTAACTACTCATAAAATGCTTTCATTACTTTATTATAAGTGAGCTATTATATTTTTCACAAAAAAATGAGTAGCGATTGTTATGTTAGTTTGAAAGAAAACTGTAACGAAAGTTACTATTATCCGCAGTAAATTCTGATTTTCATAAAAATTTTTTCCAAATAGTAATTTTGTATAACTACTATGATTTGATTGATTAGTTTGATGATCAAAGGGGAGCATATAAGAAACTCGTAATTTTCGGTAAATCACGGGTTATAACATTTGTGTGATTGGCTAATTGATGTAGATCCAAACGTGATTATTAACCAATCAAATCAATTAAAATTTCTTTCGATACGCGAAATACGCGAAAAACTGAATTTTATTATTAACAAAAGCAAAGCATTTTTAATACTAAAGTAATTTTATTCTATTTTTCAACCATTAGATTTTACTGAAACGCGTTACATCCAACATAGTACTACTCTATAGTCTATACTACTGTAATTAAATCACACCATCGTATTTATAATACTACATATTAGAGACAATTTCTTTTTTGTTTGATATATAATACGTATATATGTCGTAGTTCGGGTAAAATAAATCGTGTTAAAAGTATTTGTATTGCGTAGCCTGTTAAATAAATGTAAAGTTTTATGTTAGTATAACACTCACGGTTTAACAATTTATAAATCTATTGTTTGG